AGCCTCTGCCTTCAGCTCAGGTCATGATCCCAGGGTCCTGGGATCGAGCCCCACATCGGGCTCTCTGCTCAGCAGGGAGCCTGCTTCCTTCTCTCTCTGACTGCCTCTCTGCCTACTTGTGATCTCTGTCAAATAAATAAATAAAATCTTAAAAAAAAAAGAATATGCAATGAGAAAAGGCAGTCTCTTTAATAAATGATGTTGAAAACTGGACAGCCACATGGAAAAGAATGAAACTGGAGCAATTTCTTATTCTATATACAAAAAATAAACTCAAAAATGGATTAAAGACCTAAATGAGAGACCTGAAACCATAAAAGTCCTAGAAGAGAACACAGGCAGCAATTTCTCTGACATCAGCTATAGCAACATTTTTCTAGATATGTCTCCAGATGCAAGGAATACAAAAACATAAATGAACAATTGGGACTACGTCAAAATAAGAAGGAAACAATCAGCAAAACTAAGGGCGACCTACAGAATGGGAAAAATATACTTGCAAATGACATATCCAAAAAAGGGCTAGTGTCCAAAATATATAAAGAATAACTACAACTCAATACCCCCAAAACAAATAACCCAATTAAAAAATGGGCTGAAGAGATGAACAGACATGTTTCCAAAGAAGACATCCAGATGGCCAAAAGACATATGAAAAGGTATTCAACATCACTCATCATCACGGAAATGCAAAACAAAACCACAATGGGATATCGCCTTACACCTGTCAGAATGGCTGAATCAAAAATACAAGAAACAAGTGTTGGCAAGGATGTGGAGGGAAAGAAACCCTCCTGCACTGTTGGTGGGAATGCAAATTGGCGCAGCCACTGAGGAAAACAGTATGGAGATTCCTCAAAAAGTTAAAAATACAATTACCATATGATTCAGCAATTCCACTACTGGGTATTTACCCGAAGAATATGAGAACACTAATTTGAAAAGACACATACACTTTTACTGCAGCATTATTTACAACAGCCAAACTATGGAAGCAGCCCACGTGCCCATGGATAGATGAATGGATAAAGATGTGATACACACACACACAGGAATATTACTCAGCCATAAAAAAGAATGAAATCTTGCCATTTCAACAACATGGGGGTGTAATGCCAAGGCACAGCAAGGAAAACAAAGGAGTCTAAAGTAATTGGAGTAGCGTCATCGATGGGGAGGGAGAGAGTAAATGAGAACGGAGAGGAACCCAACAAACCAGAGTATTTAGACAATGTTGAGAAACTGACTTGATTCTAAGTATGATGGGAAGCCACTGAAGGATTAAGAGCATGTACAATGACCATTCTAGTTTATCTTTAAAAGGATAACAAAGTCTTCACCTCCACAGGGGAGACAGACAATAAACAAATAAAAAAACATATATGTATAAAAATGCCAAGTAGTAAGCACTGTTCTGAGGGGAAAGGATCACTGCTATGTGGAAGGCAGGCTACAGAAAGGTGTGGGGGGAAGCATGAGCAGGAGCCAGGCACCAGTTCAGAAGATAGATGGTAGCTAGGGAGAGAAAATGAAAAGTTCTCTTTTAGATATGCTGCGTTTGAGATGCTATTTGACATCCAAATACAAAGTCACTTATGCACTCGTTCATTCACTCAGTAAATATTTATAAGACTATTGTGTGCCAGACGCTCTTGCAGTTGCTGGGATTATTGTAGTACATAAAAAGCCTGCCTAGAGGTGCCAGCTAACTGTGGAGGAGATCACGTTGCAATACTGGAGTATATCCAATCAACACCTCTCACCCCCCAAACGAACACCATGTTACGTGTCAGTGACATCTCAGTGAAAAAAGGCTGCCTTTGTGGAGTTTATCTTCTGGTAGGGTGGGGAGAAACAATAAACAAGTATAAATTAGTGGGGTCAGTGCTGGGCGGGGAAGATGAAGTTGGGTGAAGGAGATAGGGAATGGGAAAGTAGAGAGCAGGCTGCTATTTCAGAATGGAAAGGATAAGCCTCCCTAAGATAAGACCTAAAGAGGCCTGAAGAAGTGAGGGAGGGAGCCCAGAACTGGTGGGGGAGAGCAGGGGGCAGATGCAGACAGAATAGAGCCTAAGAGCCGTGAGACAAGACGTGCTTGACAGGCTCGAGGAACAGTAAAGGACAGCACAGAAGACAGTCATAAGAAATAGGAGGCCACCATGTGCAGGGACTTGCCTGGCTTTCACTGAGCCAGAAGCACTGGAGGGATGAGAGCAGGGGAGGGCCATGAGCTGTGTTAAAATCGTCACTTAGACTGCTCTGCGTGGGGGTGGGGTGGGGTGGGTGCGGGGGCGCTGAGGGAGTTTAGGGCGGAAACAGGCAGGAAGCTTGTGTAAGAGTTCAGGGAAGAGGGGCACCTGGGTGGCTCAGTCATTAAATGTCTGCCTTTGGCCTGAGTCGTGATCCCGGGGACCTGGGATTGAGCCCTGAATTGGGTTCCCTGCTTGGCGGGAAGCCTGCTTCTCCCTCTCTCTCTGCTTGTGTTCCTTCTCTCGCTGTGTCTCTCTCTGTCAAATAAATAAACAAAATCTTTAAAAAAAAAAAAAAAAAGAGTCCAGGGAAGAGATGGATAGCTGTGGTTTGGCACAGGGTGACAGTAAAGGTGGTGAGGGCAGTTCGATTGGGGATAGAAAGGGAAAGCACCCAAGATTTGTATGTAGAATGGATTTGGTGTGTGTGAGAGGGGATGGTGCCAAGGTTTCTGTGTGGCTTGGATGACTGGGAGGGAGGGGGTTCCTAGTCACTGAGTCACTGGGACGGTTAAGTCTGTAAAAGGAGCAGGGGGGGTGGCAGAGCCAGGAGTCCTCTTTGGATGTCTTCAGTCTAGAGCCCATCTTCAATAATGAGTCAGATACAGCAGGTAGGTCAGGATGGGAAATCTGGCAACCATCAGCCTACACAAGTCCTGAGCCTGGGTGAGACCACCTGGGAGCAAATGGAAAGAGGAGAGGCTGAGATGGAACAGGGATCCTTCCACGGAGCTTCCATTCTATAGGGAAGAGACAGAAAATGGTCAAAAATAGGTGATGGGTGCAATGTAGAGAAAAAGGCCAAGGAATGCACTGGAGGATGGTGGTTGGTCTGGGTATGTTATTTGTCTATGTGTCACAGATGCAATTAAATATATGAATCAGGAACTATATATGAAATAGTCTGGAAATATAAATTTGATAGTCCTCAACATGTTGAACTCAAGACTGGACAGAGCACGCCAAGAAAGGAGGCTGATAAATTTAAAAATCAGAGAACTGAGCCCCAGGAGTTTCCAACATTTACAGTGGAACTTGCGGTAATGGGTTTTGCTTTCTGAAATTTATGCAGGAGAAAGTGGGTTGTCAACAGGGCAGCCCTCTCTCCAAGCCACTGACTGAAATGTTGCTGTTTGCTCAACCTTCAGACCAGCTTGGAGGTGTTCTCCCCGTGTATTCCTCAGACTCCTACATCAGAACCAACTGAGGAGCTTGTTAAAAATGAAGATTCCATGTCCCTCCCCACTCCCCCAAACTGTCCTCTGGGACTAGATCCAGAGAAAACAAATTGCAGATGATCTGCATGCCCATGAAGGCTGGAAGCCACTGTATCAAAGGCAGGGAGGCAAAACAGAAGACAATCCAAGTGGCGGGAAACAAGAAGACATAGTTAGGTAAGACCCACTCAGTCCGTGGCCAGAGGGGAGCTCCTGAAGGTGCTGAGGACAGAGCTCTAGGATCAGATCCTTATACCGTGTGGAGGAGCTGGGGGAGGGGGGGAGAACGCGGAAATGCAGATTTGGCTCCTGAATTGTTCTTACTGCCAATAGGGCTATCGGGATTGGAATTCCTCAGTTCTTCAAATGTTTTAGAATTTTTTTATAGGAATGAGCTGACTTTTTAAGAAAAAAACTATGTTAGCTTTTTAAATCTGCTCTGTTTTGTGCTGAAGGAGGGAGGAAAAATAATTATTTGGGCTAAAACAAATTGTTCCCAGCATACTGAATTAGACTTTATTCTAGAAATGGAAGGCTCATCATAATTCTTTCAATTAGAAAGGTAGTCTAGTTGACATCTTCTATTATAGTGCTAAGTGCAACACAGCAAAGAATCCATATCTAAATCATAAGTCATTACTCCACTCCACTCTGGAGGCAGAATATATAGACATTACTAAGGAAAACAACTGAAGAGATTTAGTTAGAGGCCACTTGTTAAGGAGTACTTTAAAACACCTATGTGTATATAAAAATAGAGCCGACTTCATATTTTGATTTATGAAAAATAAATTTATTACATAACACCTTGTTTTTAACAATGTTCAATTTTTTTTAAAATTCAGAATACTTGTGTCATTCATGTAAAATAGTTTGATACAGTACATTGTATGTTATAGGTTTTTTTTTCCTCAAAAATTCTAAGGCTCTCCTACTCCTTCTCCTTTGCTGAAGTAAGGGCACCCTAAACAACGTGCGAACAAGTTTTAAAAAGGAAAATTAACTGAACAAAATTTTAATAGCACTACACCAACCAGCTTTAAAATCAGGACAAAATATCTGAATGGGATGCCGCACCTTTCAGAGGAAGTTATCATTCATGCTTTTTTCATCTTAAAGCATGCTCACTAATCAGCAACACCAACAGGAAAAATAAAACACTGTCTATGACAATCATTTCAGTTTGTTTGCCGAACCAAACAGGTTTATATCAATGACAACATATTTAATTACTATCAAATAGCAGCTTTAATACCAGTCAAGTCATAGATTGAAAATAAAAACAAACTTATAAGTTGGAAATTAATCTTTGGGAGTTTTGAAACCTTTCTGGAAAAACTATGTGGCTTTTGTACTTTCAAAAAAACCCAAGCAATAGCCTTGGTCGAAAAACACTGATTAATGTAGAAAATGAATCAACCCACTGATAAGACACTAAAATGAAAGGTGTACCAAAATAATCTCACTTTGAGTCTTTGTTATTTTGTTGAGTTAACATATACTGTATGTTTCAAGTACCAGTTAAACTTTTGTGTGTGTGTGTGTGTGTGTGTGTGTGTGTGTGTGTGTGTGTACTATTGGTCAGATAATGTTGTTACACTGAAAGAATTCACCACATACAACGACAAATGCTCGCCCCTAGCACATTTCACAGCTTCAACTGCTACAGACTGTCACTGAAAAAAATGCATTGGTCAGTCTGAACCATGTCAAGTAAACTATGGAAGTAGCAAATCCACAACACAAACTGTGCTAGCACTTTCTTTCAAGTCTAACTCCAAAACAGGTACAACTTGGAAGCCACTACCCCGGTCTGTGAAAAGTGGTGGAACTTGGCTACCGGACAGTTTGAGGATGTGGGTGTACAGTACATTCCCATGGCCCATACCAGGTTCCCGCAGAGAGCTGCACCGTCAGTCCTGCAGCGCTAGCAACAGTGCATCGACAACATTCCAGTGCAGCTCAGTACCGGTGTGTCTGATGTGAGTACTGTGGAGGCTGCTGGGAGGTAGCTGAGTATCCCATGCTGCTCTGTGGCTGTGATGTGCTTGGTCCGGGGTTGGGATAGGCAGCATGTGGATTGGAACGCTGCAAAAGAACGAGCGAGGAAGCAGAGTCAGGTGTTTCTAAGAGTTGGCTCTATCCCAAGCTGGCAAGGCTTAGGTTTGCAAGGTCATTTATTTAGACGCAGTAAGAATTTAAAAGTCTTGTGCCATGTACTAGCTTTAGAATGAAAATGACAAAAACCCCCAATCTTTTAATGTCAGCTAAGGTCCGAAGTATTGCCAGGAAATAATACTAAGCTGAGTCTCATGACTCTGCTGTGCAGTTCATTGTTTTTCTATAGCAGTAATCCCCTTTTTAAGCTGTTTTGTAACCACCTGATAAGTAATAATTAATTTGCTTGAGATGTTTATACGTGAACTTAATGATATATACACGAAGACATTCAAAGCTAATTTACATGCTGGTTTCTTCAACAGAAGAAGCCTCCCAGCACATGTGTGACTAAAGAATAAAAATGAACAGGACAAGAAAAGGTACTGCAGAGTCATTTTCTTAGGCATTTAAATATTTTTATTCCCTTTAATGAATCTTATTTTCTGCAACAAGTTATATACAAAATTAAGCTTATAATTATAGAAACGTAAGAACAATGTTATTCTCAATTCTAAAAACTGCACAAAGGGAAAGAACAGAGATAGAGTTGAGAGTCCTGTGATTTTGATCTGTTATATTGCTATTCCCTTCCTGCACCTCTCTCTCTTATTATTAGCTCCCAAGACAAACATAATAACTGATTAACCATAATTTACTACCTCCTTCTTTCAAAGCATATTCAATAAATCATATAATTCTAAATTCTACCAACTCTAGCAAGATAACATTTTTTTTTTTTTTTTTTAGAGAGAGAGAGAGAGAGAGAGATATCACAAGTAGGCATAGAGGCAGGCAGAGAGAGAGGGGAGGAAGCAGGCTCCCTGCGGAGCAGAGAGCCCGATGCGGGGCTCGATCCCAGGACCCTGAGATCATGACCCGAGCCGAAGGCAGAGGCTTTAACCCACTGAGCCACCCAGGCGCCCCGCAAGATAACATTTTTAAAAGAGTAGACACATGAAATGACAGTCACTACAAAAACCACCCATCAGATGATGACGTCAAGAAACAAGGAAGTACAGCAGTTTTCTTGGTTTCAATAGCAAAGGTCTGAGCACTGCCCTGCTTCATTGCAAGGATGCCATCACCTTAGCAAGCAAACACATTCTTGAGCCAAGAGGGATGCACTCTTCCCACCCGGAGAGGGACAAAAAGATGCTGGAACAAACAATAGCCCCCAGAGATGTCTGTCCTTGATTTCGTTGTTTAGTTTCCCGGAAAAGAGTTACTTACTGCCCAGGCAGACAAGAATTTCTATGGTTTGGTAGACTGGACCTTTCCTTAACCAAAGCAAAGAGTTAAGATCTCATTTCTGAAGGGTCATAGCAGGCTCTGGGAACCTTATTAGTTTAGTAAGATCTCCTTTTCTCTTTCAGTAGGTAAATAACTTTACTTGGTCCAGTTTCCAGTTTCCTCCCCACACTGAGACCCAGGTGAGCTGGCAATATTAGAATAAGCAGGGAGGTGGTAAATGATTTTCCAAGCGGTCTTCCTGCAAAGAAACTGACAATGCCACGTGAGGGGATCCACAAGCAGGCAACGGAGCAGCCTTGGTTGTCAGATCTAAGCCTGTGTCCTGGGTCTACCCCCAGCTTGGCAGGTGAACACGTGGAAGTTACCTCACCTCTCTGAGCATCTCTGGAATGACAATGATCACTCTTACCTCACAGGGTTACCACAATGATCAAAGGAAATATGTAGGTTTCATGCTTGGTATAAAAGCTGGCATAGTAAGCACCCAACAAGCTCTTATTATTACAGTCATCACTAGCACCACCACCACCACTTAAAGAAGTGCTTACTGTGGGGGCGCCTGGGTGGCTCAGTGGGTTAAAGCCTCTGCCTTCAGCTCAGGTCATGATCCCAGAGTCCTGGGATTGAGCCCCGCATCGGGGCATCGGGCTCTCTGCTAGGCAGGGAGCCTGCTTCCTCCTCTCTCTCTCTCTGCCTGCCTCTCCGCCTACTTGCGAAATCTCTCTCTGTCAAATAAATAAATAAAATCTTTAAAAACAAAAAAAAGTGCTTACTGTGTACTATGAATGCTACTAAGAATTTTAATGATGGTAATGGTAATAAAAGCAGACAAAAAAGCAGTAACCTCTGTTAAGCACTACAGCAGGCTAGCCACTGTGCCTTAGCATATGTCCTCTCATTTAATCCTTAGCTCCACCTCACACTTGCCATCAACCACTTCTGCAAATAAGGAAACAGAACATCTGAATTACTTACTTAAGGTTACCCAAAGCCAGCGGCTGGGATCTGAAAGCCTGTGTTTTTTTTGTTTTTTTTTTTTTTAAGATATTATTTATTTACTTAAGAGAGAGCAAGCAAGAGAGGCCACAGGCTGGGGTGGGGGTTGGGGGGTGCTACAGAGGGAGAGGGAGAAGCAGACTCTCTGTTGAGTAGGGAGCCCAACTTGGGGCTTTATCCCAGGACCCCGGGATCGTGACCTGAGCCAAAGGCAGACACTGAACTGACTGAACCACCCAGGAACCCCTGAAAGCCTGTGTTCTTAATCATTCCTGGTATACTATACACAGCCTTGATTAAACTCCTACCACAAATCAGGGGCTAGGATTTATTACATCTACTCCTATTACAACTATAAATAAGGCTTGGCCAGGCTCATTTACAGATGAAAAACTAAAGCCAGGAAATGTTATATTATTTGTCCAAGGTCACACAGTTAATAAATGGCATAACTTAAGTTTGATCATTCCAGGTCTGTCTAATTCAAAAGTCAGTAAGTACCCTGTTCTGTACCATAGTCAGTACTTTTCCATGTCAGTAACACTCACGTCAACATATTTCCCCAGGTACATAAAGGTCAGCATTTTCTTAGTTATACTGCATTTTCCAAAGGTCAGAAACCCATATACAAATACTGATATGTCAAGTAAGTACAAAATAAACTGGAAATACCTGATAGTCTGAGGTCATGATTAGTCCACCTGAGGTAGTGGTAGGAGGAACAACTCTCACTTTTTTCAACGGGGGTCCCTGTGTATGACTGCTGTCTTGATTCCCTGGGTGACCAGTTCCATTAGTATGGTTATTGCCCTGCTGCTGCTGCTGGTTCTTCTCAATTGGTTAAACAGAAAAATAAAGTTCAACTCAGAAGGAGAACCAAATACAAACAAGAAAATGTTACCGTAGCATTGAATAAAACAAGAAGCAGCCAAACGTACTTTAATACTTACTTTGTCTCCTTTGTCATCAGGTTCTTCTTCTGTTAAAAATTCTCGTTTTGGGTAAGGGATTTGACAACCGGCAAAAACACTGCTCAGGAGAAAAAAGAAAAATGATTTCTGGTATGCCAATCAATATTTCAGATTCTTCATTTTATTCTTTCAAGACAGATTTTGTTTCCATATTTGTAAAATAAGTACCTTTCAACTGTGCAACTGTGACAAGATGAATCTTTTCTTCTAATCAGTGACATTACAGCAGGCCATGGGAGGGATTTCATTGTATAAAAATAATCAATAATCATCAAATATGACTCAACTTTCTTTTATTCCGGCCTCACTCATTTAGTATTACAACCCAAATATAGACTCCAGCGGAAATGTCACTATTTGAACACAATTTTTTTTTAACTCTCCCTTCTACATATAAAAGATGACACAGGAAACAAATTTATTTGGGAACAGAATTTGCTACTGGAACATAAAACTGTAATTGCAAGCAGCGGACAATCTCCGTGAGTCTGAGTGAGCCACAGCACACATAATCAACCCGCCACTGTGTACCTGGAGCCCCTCTGAAGCCCAAGCTGGCCATGTTTCATCAAGGAACACAGGAACAGGAGTGCCTCTTACCTCTAAAAGCCTGAAATGATACCTCAGTCATCAGAACTGAGTTTTTGCTTATCATTGGGATTTCCCTGGGTCCCCAGGTAGGAGGAGTGGCAACTTGGGAGATGACAACTCAAACAATCGTGCTCCAAAAAATTCTACCATGGTGGTGAGTTAATACATTGATCACTTACTCTGATGTAGGAAGTGGATCTTCTAAGAAATAGGGATCCTGCATAGCCTGTTCTGAGGTAATTCGCTTTATTGGGTCCATGGTAAGTAACTTCTGAAGCTGAAACCATAAATCATAAAAACATTACTGTGTTACTTCTCATAGTTTTATATCCTTGGGCATATGTGGGACATATATGCTTTTTGATGAAAACAGCACAATCTGAAGGGAATTTATTCCCCCAAATTAACAAAAGGAAAAACTTAACTATTACATTTGATGTAGTAATTCACATTTAGTTGTTCTAATAATCAGGATCTTACTTGGTTCTCCTATAAGAGGCTACTAAACTTACTTCTTACTCTAACTATCTACATTATGCAAAGTGCTTTGTACAATTTAAAACAGGACTAAAATCTTGTATTTTCTATTCCTTTTCTATTAAGGGGAAAATTATTATAGCACAAATAATACACTAGTCACATGTGGCTATTTAGATTTAAAACCTAATTAACTAAAACCAAATTAAGCTTAAAAAATCAATTTCTCATTCATATCAGGTACAACTGCAGAGCTCAAGAGCCACAGGTGGCTAATGTGCTCCCTACTAGACAGTGCAGATCATCAGAGAAAGTTTTCCGGGCCAGTGCTATCCTAGTCTAAATAAATACGATGCTTGATACAGAACTTGTTTAGTACAGAGGGATTATGAATGGAGACTTGAAGGTACTGCTTGGGTTCAAGACTTCACCTGACATTTATTAGGTGAATGACTTCGGACAAGTTGCCTAATCTCTCTGTAACCTCATTTGTCAAACGGAGATTAGAAATAGCGCCTACTACCATAGGTTTGCTTTCAAAATTAAATGAGGAAATACATGGAAAGCAATTCTAGTGGTACCCAACACAAAGAAAGCACTATGTGTTAGCTGCCATTATTAGTATTATTTTAATTATTTTGTTACCTATAGAAATGTCACGCTAATGTGGAAATTCAGTATTTTTTCATTAAAACATAGTTCACTTAAGACTTTATGAACTAGAATATTTGATTTATTTTTATTTATTTTAGAACATTTGATTTTAGTAGGTGATTTAAGAGCTTATCTAAATAGTGGTCTCTCAGCTTATCCTCTTTGATCTAATGTCGTGGTTTTCAGACCTCAGGGTACATCAGAAGTACCCCGGGAGCACCTCTCAAAGCAGAGTGCTAGGCCTCACTCCCAGAGCTCTGACTGGGATATCTGTGCAGGAGTCTGAAGAGCGGCCTTTCTACCAAGTTCCCTGGGGATTCTACTGCTAAGGACCAGGATCACACTTGAAAACCAACAGATGCATTGAGACTTGATGGGAGATGACACAATCAGAGGACAGACATAAAATATTTAAAAATACAGAGGAAACGCTGGGATGGGAAGATTTAAATTTAATTATGATGATCTGATATTTCAGTGGAAGCACAACTTTAATTTTAGAGGTGAAAGGAAAAGCATGGGTTTGCCATTTAAAATGCTCAACAGTTTTAATGGAGTTACGTTAGAGCTTTCAGATGGGCCCACACAAGATAGGTCACCGTGGTAAAAACAAGCAACTAAGCTGCAAGGGAAATATATCTCTAGGATTTCAGTGGTGATGGTTGTGAGAGTCACTGCAGACTACACCAAATAGCAGCAAGTTGGGGGTAAGTAAGAGCAAGTCCCCTGAATTGTGACTCTGGGCCTACCACTATTATTATTTTATTAGAATAAATAACTGCGTAACTTTGAAGGCTCTAACTTACCTTCCTGTTTGGGTCCTGTTATAAGTACATTATAAGAAACCATTATTTGGATAATAATATATTGTGTGGCAATAAGATAGGTTAGGCCTTGCTTTTAAAGTTGCTGGTAAGATATGAAATATATGATATATGACATGAAATAAAAATAAACAGAAGGTGTAGAAGCAGAAGCAGAAGACAGAGAAGAAACAACCAAAATAGACGAAATGTTTGCAAGTGGCCTGCTATTATAACAAGGAAAATACAATACTTTTAAGACAAAGAAAATTCCCACTTAATGAACTCATTTAAAAATATTGAGAATAAAGGATGAAAAGAATTTTAAGCCAAATACAATACAACCTACTCCCTGAAATTTCCCCTTTGTATGTTATATAACTTTAAAAAACCCCCAGAATCATTTTTAATTGTTATGATGTAAAAATGGAAATTTTATTGTAAACAAATTTAAGGTGGCAAAGTTGACTATAATGTCATAAATTACAATAGTGCATGGATTCATTTAGATTCTAAAATAAACTATTTTTCCATTATACAGTAATAAATTCTGCATCTCTCATATTCTTCCAGAAAAAGCAAGTAATACACACCATCACCGAAGGACTTCTAATACCCAAGTTTGTAAGAGTATCTTGGGAGTTAAAAATTTTTAAAAATAATCTTTCAAAAAGTTGAAATACAAAATAATTTGTAAAAGCTACTTCTGAGTACTGGGATGGTTTTCTTTTAGATTCTTCTCTCAAATTGTTGAAATTTAAAAAAAAATCGATGAAAACCAATAAATGTAATTTTAAAAATGTTCTTGACAGACTTGGTACAAGCACTATCTTTAAAAAACCTAGTGTAACCATACATTAGTCTGTTAAACCATGTTATGGGTTTGGAAAAACAAGTTTTCATGCCTTTACTAATACGCAGCAACAAGATGTCTGGATTTATCATTAAAGTACTCTAAGAGTGTTAAATAACCGTTTAAACTGACCCCAAAACACCTCTGGTTAGCTAACCAGGGAAAAATTTTTATTATTGTTCTCTAAAGCTTACCAAGTGGAATGCTTTACTATCTGGTTTAACTTTATGTTTTTCCATATACTTGATAAGGCTGCAGTTGGTATACCTGAAAGAGAAATACTATGAAATATCTATATGAGATTTTGAGGTTAATTTTACATTGGCTGAAGTTTTTCCAAACAATCATTTTAATCACAGCCGATAAAGAGTATTTATTGAAAATGGCATAATTGGCATAGCATTAGCTCAATTTCATATTTTATTCAATATTCACACTAGTCACTTATGAATGGATACCACTGAGAAAACACAAGATAATTTCATAAATAATATATACCGAATAGCATTTTTTATAAGACTGTTATCTCAACAATTCTCTTAAATAACATATGGGTCAAATATTTAATTCAGCCTTACTAGTAGGTTTAAAACATATTTAAAATTTTTTAAAAAACTTGTTACAGGCCTTTAAACTGTCCTCTCCCAATGCTCCGATCTTACATTATAAATAAATGAAATATTCCTTCTTCTCTATGAAAACTTGATTAAAATGACTATATAATACAGGTGGGTGGGCAAGTGATGGCTAGCAAGGTTGCTTATTTCAGTCTCTGTCTGCTTCAGCTGTGATCCTTTCCACTGATGCTTGCTTCCAGAGAGTAATATGGAGTTTTTTTCTCATATCCAAATCAGCTGCTAAAACTAGCTGTTTACCTTCTTTATATGACTTAAATATCTTAAAAGATAAAATATTTATTAAGTAAAGAAGTAAAAGTATTTATTAGAATAAGCTTATGTTTAGTATTCCATTGAGTATTCAATCTTTGATAGAGGATTCTGGAAAAGCAGAAATCAACAAAGGTCTATTTTCTTTCCAACTTACGTATTTCTTCTGAAATCTTTCATTAATGTTGAATGTTCAGGCATCTTTTTTATATCTTCCCAATCTTTATCTGTGAAATATATTGATAAAATTTTATGTTGTCTAGGTTCCTATTCTCAAGAATTTCAATAAAAGTTACCTCAATTTTCATCACATGTCTTATATACTTTGACCCTCCATGAAAGCACAGACCTCAAATAAATGACTAGCTACAGTAAATATCTTATCTTGACCTATAAATACAATTCTCATCCCTTGTATAGCATTAGATCTCTATAAGTTTATCTTTTTAGGGCTTACTTTCTATGTAATTTACTATAATTTACCTCAATTTCTATAAGGAGAGAGGAATAAGTTATTAATAAATATTTCTATTTCTGTTTGTAGGACCACTTTTCCCCCCGTTCTACCCAATGTCTTGGTTACATCAGCAACCAGTCTCTTCAATGACAAATCTCCCCACTCTGTAGCTGTAAGATGCATTTTTTTAAACATGGACCTCCTTACGTTCACTTTATTAAATACACTGTTTTCCAGCAGCGATTGATGTAAGCAGCGACAACTGTCTGGAACAGAACAGGGTAGGACATAACTAGTATGCAAATAAGTCTGCTGGTGGCTTGGCAAGTTTCAGTAACATTAACAACCCCAGCTTACTTATATGAGGAAGAAAATGTTCCAGTTGGCTTGCTGGCCTTAGAGTTGCCTCAACAACATGTGCTACTAGATGGCTAGTTTTCTTCATCTCCATCAACGGACTTGTCCTGAAAGACCATCAGCTGTAGTACTACAGCAGGTAGCTTCACCGCACCGTTAGCTTTTCAATGACCTTTAGACATCTGCCTTCAATCTCCTTCCACGGAGATGTGCAACTTGCCTCTAAAGACACCACACTGTAAAGTCAACTAAATACATATGGGATTTTCTCAATTATTTCCTTGCTCTAACTTCTCTATTTTGTTAATTTCTCAAGCTAGACATCCTGGGATAATCTTTTACTTTTCCTTCAATTACATATAAAAAATTCTGTATTTGTCCTTTATTCTCCATCCTTTTTAACACTTTCCACCTGGAGTACTGCTATATAGGCAAACAGCTGGCTTTCCTGTCTTCAGTTACCTCTCTCTAATTGATTTTTACCTACCACAACCATACTAATCTTTCTAAAATATAACATAAACCATGTCCCTAGTTCTCAAGAACTTATCATGGATTCTCATTCTTTTGTGCATTAAATCTAAACCCTACTGCCTGCTTTTCAACTATCTTATAATCTGAGCTTCCCCTAACTGTTGAACTATACATTAAGAATCATCTCTTGCAGAGGCCACCCCCCTCTTCCAATGCCTTGTAAACCACATTCCTTTCTCTCAGGCCTTAGAAATGGTGGACACATTCAGAAGTGGGAAGAAAAGGCCATTCTTCTCCATCTACTCAAACCATAGCTATTATTTAAACATTCTACTTCAAGTAGTACAATACAAATTCCAAGTAAGCAAGAATCATGCCAGTTATATCAACATTATTTTATGCATAACACAAGGCCTGGCACATGGCAAGTATTCAAATATTTAGTGAATAAATAAACTTCTCATCACAAAAAGGCAGTATTCACAGACCCATTGACCAATTCTGCAGAAAGTATCTGTGTTAACACTCTTACAAGGAAATGTGAAATTAGAACTCCCAGATATTTCTGTATTAGTCTTGAGCTACCCTGACCTGATAGAAATTCCTAGTAAGAAATAATTTCTAATAAATACCTGACTAGCCAATATTATGTAGGTTTTTAAAGCAAAATGTCATTATTCTAGACCTCTGGGCAGAGTTTTTAGATACTGAGGAACTACCACGCCATGGCGTAACAAGGGATGGGGATGTCGCTGAAAAACTAAGGGGTCTGGCGCCTGAGATGAGACACCTCAACAACTGTCTCCCTGCTACCAATCAGCGTAGGCACAGTTGCTGTTCTAACAGAACACTTAAAAGAATGTTCTCACTGACGAGGGTTATAGGGTAAAAAATTCTATTATTTAATATAATGTGATTCTGTATAGTGCCCTAAATATAAATAATGTTCAAAATTTGTATTTAAATACCAAGTAATGGCATATGTGCTGCCAGACAAAAATACATACTACTGAATTTTATTTGTAAGAACTAAAGGTACCTTTTAATACAGATATTGCAAATATTTTATCATTTTGAATATTAAACAACAAAACAAAACAAAAGAATAAAATGAAACAAAAATATACTCCTCAAATTCAGAAAACCCACAAATATCTTTATGCTAATTTGTGAACTCTATAAATTTTGCTATTTCTAAGGATCTTTGATTAATGCAACCCATAAATATAAAGAATTGAGTAAGAGCAGCTTTCATCGGCTAAAGATATACACCTTTCCAATGAAGATATCTAAGTTCAAACAACAGTGATTTAAAAACAAAAACAAAAACATAATGTGTACCTGCAGGAAATCCCATTACATTGAATATTCTGTCCAGCTGGTCATGGTGATAAGGATTACTAGTTTTGATGTCCTCTTGTCGACAGTGAAATATTGGTTCTGACGTTAGTAGTTCTGCAAATATACACCCTATAGCCCAAATATCTTTAAAACAAAAAGAAAAAAAAAGAAAAGAAAAAAAAAGGAAAGGAAAAAAGAAAAAGAAAGGAGGAAAATAAAGTGGTTCTTTCCAAAAGAAAATGCATTTTTATCTTGGTGGGGACTGTTTTTTCTATCTTTTCTTTTCCTAATAAGTCATATTAATTCCTAAAGCAATTATCATTAAAAATATCATGGAATATTGCTTGTAAATATATACTCCCACCCGACACATTCCAATTTTTTCATTCCCTATTATACCTTCATTCCACCCAGGGGCTTCATTCCAAGTTCAAATCAAGTAAGCTAAAATTTTGGCAATTTTTAAATGGATCAAACATTACCTTATCTGTGAAATACATACAAAGCTGCATATGGAGCACAGGAGCCACAAACAAACAAAATCAAACAGAAAATAAAACAAAAACAGAAAACCCAAATAGCTTTTGAAATTGGGCATACTTGCCAAAAACAATCAGCATAATTTTTTGAGGTAAAAATATTTTTTCTTTATCTAGTCTATGTATTTGCTAATTTGTAAAGTCTAATAATTATCCTTTCATGCTAGCACGAGTTAGCAAGGTGTGATTACAGCAGGAGAAAGATAATGCCTGATCTCAAATATTCTAATGAAACTGCATTTCTACTTGAACAGTTTTTTGTTCAAAGTATTTCTTTATGCTACAGTGGAGTCAGATTTTGCAATTTAATAAGGATAAGAAAATAGGGAGCAAAATACTACCTTTACGATAGGTATAAATTCACTAGAATTACTCATAAAAGCCAGGCAAAATGGATTCCTCGAGTACAACAAATTCTTCTCATTCACTTTAAGATATAAGCTAACTTTCATTTATATTAAACTTTTACTCAATAGAACTGTTATTAATAGAGGAAAGATCTACATGCCACTTCAGAATTTAAAACTGAAATTATTCAGTTCCTACTTTAACAAAGCCCTAAACCAGCAAAGTTAACTTCTCTATGCTAAGTACAATGGTGTGAACACAGCAGACACTCAATCAGTCGTTTCTGATTGATCTAACCAATACCTGTGGTAAATATAAACAACTATAGAGGGAAAAATAAAAACCACTATTTTATTAAAGCCAATTGTTCAGGTATGTTAATAATTGTCACATAAATAGAAAATGTGAAGCAGATCTTAATTTATAAAATAACTCAGAATTCCTAAAATCTAAAATTAGAATATAGATAATTAAGGTAAAATTATCACATTTATAGATTTCAGAATAACAAGTTAATCATCTATTTATTAAGATTATACACCATAACTACAAGCAAGTGATTTTTAAAAAGGACACGGTTCACATATCCGTTTTCTCCCACATCATGAGAACCAAGTTAGCCAATACCAGCATATAGAAAAGTATGAAGACATACTAGCCAAGCTATTTTGTTTTTAGTATCAGAAAGTAAATGGAGAAATTATTTTGTGATTATTCTTTTGATGTATGTACCCCATGTGATAACTTGACTTATGATCATCTTAATCAAAGGAAAAGATATGCAAGCTAAGGAGCATCACAAAAAGGGCCAATGGGTTAATTTGCATGTTTAAAACTCTACTCATAGCATCCAGAAGACACCATAACAACTCATTCTGGTTAGCTATGAAAAATACTAAAGAAAACTAACATGTAAGGAAGATGAGAGGTAAGTAAGTAGTGTAGCTATATCCTTAAAGTGACGAACTGCTTCTAAAATATAAGGTCAGAAAGTAGGAAGAAATAGTTTATTCGACTTTGTTTACTCTTACCCTTATAACCTTCTTCTCTTTATCTTTTCTATTCTCTCTTACCTTTTGGCAATCTCATCACCATCCTTCCTTTCTTCAAAATCCTGATCCAGACATTAATCATGAAGTTAGCTAAACAGGTTATTATTTTAGAAAAATTTCTAAATCTATGTACATAAGTCTCTCCTAACTATCTTAACTGCCCCCCCCCCCCCCCCCCCAGAATGTGCCAAGTTCATGGAAAAGTCCTTTCCTGGTCACCTACCTGCCTACTTTACTTCCTTCTAGCACTTTCCAAAGTAAAAACATATAAATCTCATCTACTTCTCAAACTCTGCGATGCTTTGTGCAGCTATTGAGCTAACTAGACAAAGTAGATAGCAATTAGCAGACTAATTGGACCCAAATTGGGGGGGAGCTTGTTAAATAATGTATTAATCAATAGATGTATTAACAGCAAGTTTCTACCTTAATAAAAGAGTAAATTCTCATTCTCCCTATCTTATTTCTCACTTAATAGAATGCCACGTAATTAGTGGGCATTCAGTTATTTGAGAACAAACATCTGAGTTTAAAAGTCCACACTTTAGTAAAACTTTAAGACTGCTTCAGTGATGATTAATTAAAGACTGAAACTCCCTTTTCAGGTTTCTCCATGAAGTCAACCAAACAAAACCCCCAAATACTCAAAACTGAATTAAACTTTGTCATTGGGAGTACAATGTTTACTGACCTATTATTTACTCTCTTTGGCTTAATGATTCAGCTTGTAGTTTTGTACAAGTGAATAAAAGACTGCAGCACTAAAGTCTGTTTGGAATAGAGGATGGGAACATTTTTTCCCGGTGCTCTTTGGCTGCTTCTTAGTAGCCTTCAGTTTAACATAATCCACCAAACTGCACTAGCAGATTTTGCCCTTCTAAATGATGCCCTTAAAATGAACTAGTGAATAAGTAATCTGTGCACTGAACTACAAAAGTTCTTCTATTAGCTGCTCAAACTACAACCATCTGACAGGGAAGTAAAAATGCTAGGCAAGTTCTTGGTAAGTAGCTTTCACTGTGGTGTGGGGAATTTGTACTTTAATGGACCCTCAGGCTACTTACATAAGTAACAGGTAGAATGGGATTGTGTGGGAAAGACTGGAATCATGGAAGAGGTTTTCATTTTTATTCCTTTATTCTATTCTTTAAAATTTATATTAAAAATGGTTTACATATACTTTCTCTCTCTCAGAAAAAGAAGTAATTGGAAAGATACCCATATTCAACATTTTTGAGCCAATGTCTTCATAAAGGAAAAGTGTTTTAAAGATTGCTCTTGGCCAAGTGAGGTGTTCATAGGGCAGGGATCACCACCGCAGAGGGTCTGGCCTGACTTGGTTTCAGTCATCTGCACCCCAGTTTGTTCCCTCTATATTCTTCCTGTCTCAGAAGCGACTGTTTTATCCAGGGTCACAGAACTTTTGGAGTTGAAGAGGACCTAAGAGATGATTCAGTCTAAATTCTCACTTTCAAACAATGAGGCTGAAGAACTAAATGTTTTACATGGGGGTGAGCATGTGTGCGAACGTGAGCAAGCACACACACACATCCCACCCTGAGTGACAACGCTAAGGCTATAAGTCGGATTAATTTGCATACATTTTGGTTTCTCTTAAGTTTTCAAAGTTTAGCTAATAGTTATCCAATAAATTTGGATGATGAGAAGGAGGAAGAGAGGAAAAATAGGAAGAAAGGCCTTCTCTTTTGCAAACTATAAAGCCATTTGAACAAGGGAATCTACCTAACTGCTAGTAGTTTAGCTTTGTGATAAATAGTCCTGCATCAAAACTGCCGACTGCAGCTTGTCCTAGTGAATAACAGGTTATACAAAGTGCAATGTTCACAACAAAATATAAGTTTCTTGAGAAAAAGATAATAGAGTCAGAGTCTCTAGCTTCTGTGATGGCATACTTTTTACTTAATTTAAATCAATTCAAAGTTTTCAGTGGATAACAGCTAAGATTAGGCAATCTTTTTTTTTTTTTTAATATTTTAGTTGTTTGTCAGGGAGAAAGAGAGAGAGAGCATAAGCAAGGGAAGTAGCAGGCAGAGGGAGAAGCAGACTCCCCACTGAACAGGGAGCCTGATGTGGGGCTCGATCCCTGGACCCTAGGATCATGACCTGAGCCAAAGGCAGAGGCTTAACTAACTGAGCCACCCAGGCGTCCCAGGCAATCACTACCTTATCTGTGTAGTCTGTTAATATGTCTTATCAAAAATAACAATGCTTTTGAATATTCATTTCCTAGGTGGAAAAAATAGTTATGCATCATATTAGTTTATATTCTAAGCACTCAGAATATACTTATAAAAAAGATAACCAAATGTATGTGTAGGTAATAACATAGCTTCAGTAATTTTTACTTTTCCTTCTAATTGATTTTTTAAAAAATAAGCATTTTATTTTGGAGTAATTTTAGACTTAAAGAAAAGTTGCAAAGATAGTATAGAGAAGTCTTCTATCTAACTGACTTAACTTTATCTGCCTTTACTTTTTTATAAAATGAAATATGATCTCAAAGCAGTTATGAACATTAGTGAACATAAAGATTTTCTGAAGAAAGACATGTTGGGTTAAGGATTAATATGGGGGAATGATCACAAGCATTTCTTCTTTCCCTTCTTGAGTATACACTGAAATGGCAGCAAAGTAAGAAAGGTTAATAGTAATCCACAGTAATAAAAAGAACAGGAGGAGATCACTGGGGATAAGACTGACTGATTCATTCATTCATTCACTCATTCAACAAAGAGTACTGAGTTCTCACTGCATACAGTGCCTACTAGGGTGACCAGCTAGGCAAGGTCTATCTATTTTAGTGGATTTTAGATACTATACAATGCTAACAAGACAGTAAGATGGAAGTGGGTTGGGGAAGGCTGAATGACTACTTTAGACTGCGTGATCATTGAGGTTCTCTCTGAAGAAGTAGTGTTTTGACTAAGAACTGAATAAAAAAAAAGAGAGAGAGAGAGAGAGAGAGACTGGCCATATGAAGACCTGATCTAGGCAGAGATACATAAGAACACTTTACTTCGGGAAGACGGAAGGCAGATGGAACAGCTCAGAGAAGGCCCCAGGCCACAATATTATTGCTGAGTGTGAAGCAGAATTGTCCTGTACAATTCTGGAAGATTCTGTCCTTAGAGGACTAGCTACAAAGTCTGTATTATTTTTTCTTCCTAACGTCTGTGTTTTGAATAGTTGATTCTCCTTCTCCTGCTCTCCTCCACTGCCCTGAAGCTACCAGGTACAAAACTAGGACCTAAAGTTGGAAGACTCTTCCCTTAAAGAATCTGAATGGCCTCAGGACAAAGGCTTGTGCATGCTAGCACTTGGGGATCCCCCTCTTAACGGTAGTTCTCTGCTAGATCACTCTGAAATCTGCCACTCAACGAGCCCTATGATCTATGTCCACAAAGTTCCCAAGCACTTTTCTGTAAGCTGATTCTTAAATATGAAGAGATAATCGAGGGTCAACAAATAGTGGACGAACACTTGCCACATGGAAGGGAGAAACCGAGACATATAAATAAAAAGAGAGCCTATAAAGAAAACACCTAATTATTTCAGGAAAACAGCAAATTACAAACAATTAAAAAGCACTGTTATCACCATCCTCACAGATAGCTGAGATGCTTTTTTTCCCCCATAAAATAATACAAAAAACTAATAGAGAATAAGAAGGGGTTCTTAGAGAAAAAAAGACAAAGGCAGAAAAACATAGGAAAAGTGATATCAAGTAGTCCAGTAAGTAGTCCAACATATGCCCACACTCAGTTTAGGAAAGACAGGCACAGAAAACAGAGAGGAAGAAATCAAAGACTAGTTTAAGAGTTTTCCACAGACATGGGCTGTGCAATACGAATTTCAGACTGAATGTGCCTACCAAGTGGTCAGCACATTACTGTGAAACAGAAGGATAAGAAATCCTATTTGTTTTCAGAAAGAAAAAATTTGTTTTCAGGTAAGCCACCAAGGAATGAGTACAAGACTGGCATGAATCTTCATTAGCAACACTGATGCTATAAGCCAATGGAAGAGCATCATCAAATACTGAAGGAAAGTTATTTTGTACTTAGAATTTTAAACCTGGCCAAACTGCATGATATAGTTAGACACAGACATCTTTCAGAAATACAAGAACAAGAAAATTTACCTCCAAGACACCTTTCCAAAGCAAGCTGAGAATATGCTACTGCAAAATAATAAAGCACAGAAGGAAATACGTCCAACTCAGAGGAATTAAAAAAAAAAAAAAAAGAAAAGAAAAGAAAAGAAAAGCCAGGATGAAAATCAGTCCAGAATACAGCATAGCATAGAAGACTTGTGGATGGAATCAACCAAGAAAAACAAAAGCAGGCTTAATGCTATTCTGGAGAACACAGCAAGTTAGGTAAACAGTAAAGACATATAACAACGGGAAAAAGAAAAGAAAAGCACATAAGAAAAGAACACGAAAAAATTCAATGAAATAAAATAAGGCACAATAAAGATGTCAGTAATGGGAAAGGTGTGGAAAAAGGACTGTGGTAGTTTAGCACTGAATCTGTTACAATATATAATCTGAGTATAAACTGTGGGAATTATGGTTTGTAAATAGAAAATAAATGTTGTAAACATCAACAAAGTAGTAATAATAATAACGACAACAATATTTCTAACACAGCTTATAAATTGGGAGGTTGAAGAAGTAAAAGAGCACTAATTTCCCAATTCTTAATAGTACGGAGGTAATGAACATAATCAAAAACTGAAAAGTGAATTAAGATATCCTAAACTATTTTTTCCATAATTTTTCTCCTTAACTCCAAGGGGATCTTTTAGAAGTATTTCTTCTGGTGAAAAAAACATTTGTCTGAAGTTTAATGGTTTAGAAATTTTACTGTGCTTATTTCTCTTCTCAAGTAAAATTTAAAATATATTTTTACTTAGAATGCACAGTATGATCCCATATATTTAAGAAGTTTTAAAATATCTATAAGAGAGAGATGTTTAGAATAATACATTACTAATGCTCATAATGGTGTTTCTAAGTAGTGGAATTTTAGGACACTTTTTGTTCTTATTTTTATAGTTTTCTGTATTATTTAATACACAGAAATATGTATATTTTACAATAACAAAGCCACTTTTAAAATGCCATGGAATTTTAATTAGTTATACTCACCAATAGCTTTGGTATAATGTCTCGCTCCAAGAAGTAATTCTGGGGCTCGGTACCAGAATGTTACAACTACTGGATCCAAATCTGCTAAAGGCTTCAAAGGTGAATTAAATAATCGGGCAAAGCCCATATCAGCTGTAAATAAAGATAATAATAATGTTAAGTCAATATATTTTTACAAATTTAACTGATTAATTTTACCACTGCTAAGATAGGGAAAATGTGCGGAATTCTTCACCTGGGTTATAGATATGCTTGCTGCAGAGGTCAAGGGTGACCCTATACTCCGGGCAGATTTCTTTCTGCCTGTCACGCTACCACTGGGGACAGGGTTGTTAAACTTCATGTCCATTCTTTGTATTGGTTATAAGCACTGAGAAACTAGTTGAGTTATAGTAAGGCTTTCCATTATTTGCATCAATAAGCCTGGTCACTGGGATAATCATGACTATACAGTATGTTAATACCACTATCTCCCCCCATTTATTTAGGTTGAATTTTATTAACTGAAAGAATCATAGTAATTTTTTCAAGCTGGAAAAGACCTTCTAAAAGGTCATATAGTTCAATCACCTCCTTTTTCAGGAGGAAAAAAGAAAAAATTTTCAAAAGAAGAAATTAAATGATTTGACAAATGTCATAAACTCCTACCTCAGAACTGGAGCTGTGGCATTTGACACAGTTTAATATGTTGTGTAGTTATTCAGGCATGACTGTTTACCCTATTAAACTGTAATCCTAAAGGCAAAAACTGTCTTTTTTCATCTCTTTTAGTATCTATCTAGTGTCATTACACATAGCTTTTATCAAATACACATTGAATGATCACCTATTCATACCACCTATCAAAAATTTCAAGATTCATCCACCATTTGTTTGGTTTTGCTCTCCTAATATACATTTTTAATGAAGGAGGCTCTCATCTAACCTTCTTAATTACGGAGGTTAAAAAAAACCAACACAGAAATTTGGTAAAGAATTAAAACCATGACTCAGATTACTAAATACTGGCTTATAGAAGAACTAATATTTCTTCTTAAATGTGAATGCTTTAAGCCTTTAGTATCCCCCAAACCTGCTCACATCATATGCATTACATATAATTCCAAACTAGATTATTTTGTTATATAAAATTTCTCCAAATCTTAGTAAAAAAATATGTCTGTAACTACTGTTTGGCTGGGTCTTATTTTGCACACTTTGAACTTATATTTGAAGAACTTGATACAACCAAATTGGGCTTTTTAAAACACAAGTCAGGACTCACAAGGCATTTGGTGACCCTATAGAGTTAAGTACTGACAGGGTCTGGCTGTCAAAGGGAGTCAATGCCTAGGAGTACTCCGAGGTACATCAAACGTTTGTGATACTAAAAAACCTTGTGAGGTTTGCATGATAAAAGAGTATTCTGAGGGTCTAATTAAAAGTGGAAAGTGAGATCTGGGGAATTTATAGGGGAGGATGGGGAAGAGGGGTTAGGAACATCTAGGTTTTTCTTTGTTAAATGGTACAAATTAGCTGATAATTTGAATTTATATTAAATGTTGCAATCAGAAAGTACTCTTTTTTTATATACTCCCACAACCCTGTTGCCTTTAAATTAACATAATTTAGTTACAACACTTCTTCTACCCACACACAAAACAAACTAAATAAATGTGACAAAGACAACTTAGAAATGACAATGAAAAAAAAAAAAAAAAACAGAATTTAAAAATTCAGTTTTATCCTTATAGGTACCAGACCAGAACTGGGTAAAATTTTGCTCTGATATATAAGAAAACAGAGCTATTGGAAAACATGCCAAGGTACAGAATGCTTGTTACTTTCTTTTCCCTTTAGGCAGAGGCCTTCTAGAACTTAAGGTTCTGTACCTCTCCAGCCTCCGCAGTTTTCCTAGTTTGTAATTCCTAATGTTGAAAGGTCAACAGAGGCATATGTTCTGATCTCAACTGGCTCAGGTGAACAGAACTGATGCTGTTAATTACTAGTTTGCTTTATGCCTTTGTGACTAAAGGTGAGGCTGGCTTCTAACATGGAAAGAAGCCACTCACCTCCATAGGCTATTTTTAACGAAAGCAAAGGTTTCTAAGAAACTTCCCTGGCTTAATTTATAATTAGAACATTTCAACTCTAAAGATTGTCTGACACCTTTCAAGAATGTGAAACATTTTTCACTTTTAATGTAAACTCTTTAGAAATGGCTTTGATCAGAAGGAACTACATGAATATAGCATATCATTACAGCAAAAGTTAGAAGTGATATTGCTGTCTGCAAAAGTTTTAAAAGAGTGCTACACTGTGACTTATCAAAAATAAAACATACCAATTTTTACTCTTCCTCGCTCAGGACCTTCACCCATAACTAAAATATTAGCAGGTTTCTGTGGAAACAAAATAGTGTTTTTTTTTTCAGTAGACAGTAGTGGTTTCTTTTAAATAGACATTATGCCAATATAACATATCCACCTTTACAAAATCTCATTTACTCAAAAATTAAAATCAAACACAGGAAGTCACCAAAGAAACATTATGTGTATATATGCAAAGCAATGTGCAAACATTAGGAAGGCCCAAATATGACAGTGCTTTTCTCCAGGCAGAGCTAATAAAGCTATTCTTGGCTTATTTAGCCGAGTCTTTGTTCATTACTGTGGAGCATCTGACGGGAAGTTACAATGTTGAGGTTCCTTCCAACTCTTTCAATTGTAAAAAATGTCTTGCAACTTTAAGGGAAATGTGTCTTCAAAGATGACTTAATTCTAAATAGCAAAGGAAGGAGCCACCGGATATCTTTTTTCTTTTTTTTTGAAATGCCAAAGTGTGCATCTATGCTTTAACAAATAAATTTTAGAGAATCCGTTTATTAAAGTATTTTCTAAATGAGTTAGTGAAGAGGAATTTTTTATGACATGAACAGTTGTGAGATTTTTATGTTTAAATAAAGAGAATCTAAAACTTAAAGTGAGATTTTATAGAAGTAAAATTCTAGTGTTAAAGTCTCTAAAAATATACAGGATTAACTATCATCTACAATCTGCTACAGTGGTATGTACAATATTGACATGTGAGACTTATGCCCTCATCAGCAAGAAGGAAGAGAGGAAGAAGGAAGATAAGGGGGTTGGATGAACAGAGAGGAAAGGGTTGGGGAGAGCAACCCCCAAACTTTCTTATCCTACTAGGCTGTCTACTTGGTGTTTAATTTTGCCAGTCTGCTAAATAACAGTGAAACTAGATTAGAATACCCTTCAAATACAGATCAAACAACCTTAAAATTAAGGATTTTAATGAAGGCTGTTTACAGGGCTAACTAGTTCACAAGCTTCCCTAACCACATCTACTAATAGCCCCCATGCTCTTACTGACAAAATATAACTTACAGTATATTATTCTCTCAGCTACTACAGATCAAAAACATTTTTTATCCCTAGCCAAAAGAAAAAAGAATTGCTGAAATGGTGGCATACACATAATCAGAGGTTACAAGTTCTAGACTTTTAGGAAACTAGGCACCAGAGAGATTAAATGACTTGCCCTGTGAGCATAATCTACAAGACTGGGCAGCAGCAGCAGAATTTACCCCACGGCTTAAGTCTAGTGCTCCCTTCCTAATACATCATCTTGGAAAATAACTTTATGTAGCAAGTTTTTCAATTAATGTATACTAACATAATAAAAATAATAATAGTTTCATTCAAGAAAATTTTTTCAGAACCCCTATCATTCACACATACACGCATTGCTGACCCCTGGAAAAACCGCCCCGCGAAGTAGCTGAAGAAGTACATAACACGATTCCCCGTGCGCTTCCTGCAAGAGCTGCCTAACACAAGTAAAACTGCTTTCACACACTATGCTAACCCATCACTGGGTTAGACTCTGCAGAGACTCTCAGAGCTCAGCCTACTTCAAAATGAAATCAGATCTCTGAAACTAGCATAAAATATTGAAGGCAGAGGAGGGTTTCCAAAAGGAATCAGGCAGCATTTCTATCTGGCTGAGGAATAAGGCTTGCTCTCAACTACCAACGTGGGCTCAGGAAGAAACGTCCATGTCTGTGCTAGAACTCTCTTCTTATGGACCATTGGGGAAGAACTCCCTAAACATCTCTTGAACACATTCCCTATTCTTTAAGCCCATTATGATTCTTTTTCCATCCAATCCATCTCTGTAGTGTTGCCAGGGTAACCTTTCTGAAAGACAAAGCTGATCATATCACTCCTTTGCTTAAAATCTTCCATAGTAGTATCATGGAAAATTCTTGTAAGATTGGGTGAAAACAGAACACAAAATGATATACAGACTGCGATTACAAACAGGTTAAAAAAAAAAAAAGTATGATGGGTAAAGACTAGAAGAACAAAGAGTTAGTGACAGTGGTACAGATGAATCTTTTCAAAGGTAACTTTGAATGCTTTTGCTATGCTTTATTATTAGGCATATGTAGAGAAATATAATTTCTACTTTAATTAGTCTCTCATCACCTATGAATAAGATCCAAAGTCCTTAAGAGGGGATGCAAGGCACCTGCAAGCTCATTCCCATCAATCTGTCCTGCCCCACCTGCCACTGTCCACACTGCTCCTGCCATACTGGTTTTCAGTGTCCTGTGACACTTTCAAATCTGTTATCCCATTATTACTGCCCCAAAGACCCTTCCCCTGTTATTTGACAAAATCTGATTCTTTGCGCCCCCCCACTTGATGACATAAATAATACATGACTATATTCTGATTACAAACAATTCAACTATAAAGTCACATACAATTAAAACTTAAAGAGCCTTTCACCACCCATTGTCCTCCACCATGTCCCAAACCCCATTCCCTTCTCCAGAGGTGCAAAGTGATTAACTGGTTTGCTGTGATGGACTTTTCAAGCACTTAAGTGCTCAATCCTAAAATATCATCTCTGTATCTGGCAAGTGCAGAGCACAACATTGACATCTCTCTCCTCCTTTTATTTTACATGAAGTAGAAAAATCTGTCTCCTTTTTTGCTTTCTTACTCATTCAGCAGCTGGGCCCACATCTTAGAAAGTAAGGGTAAGTGGTACTGGTCTACCTGCTATGGAGTAACGAAAGAGAAACTCCCTCTTGTTTGTTTTGTTCGAGACATATCAGACTGTCAAGTTCTAAACCAGGGTTTTAGCACTGGTTGGGGGAATAAACAGTTTCTCTGTCAAAGATTTGGGGACAAAGCTCTAGTTAATAGTTAAAAATTGCTCTTCTAGGCAACTTGCTGCCTATTGTATGATCTGAAGCAGGTCTTGGGGCTAAAAGCCGTTACCAACACTACTTTTATAAGTGAACTTAAAATTCGGTTTGGGCATGCCATACAGTCACAAACAAGAATGGTGCTGTGTTGTTTCAGTACACTACTTATGAATGATGGGTCCTTCCTCATGTTATTTTTATGATGGCATTCTATATGCCTCAATATGCGATATTCTGATTTTAGTAGAGAAATCTAACACTAAATTTATTTTATGGATGCAATCTAATGGAAGTTTCAAAAGAAAAAGATAGAAAGGCTCTAACGATTGTGAATACTGTTTTGTCTCGTTGCTTAACCAGTATTAACTAAGGGAGGCTTCAGACTTAGTAATTTTTGTTTTAGTATTTAAGGCCATGCTGAAACAATATTCTCCAAAAAAGCTCATTGGGTAGTTTTTAGCTCTAGAGCCAAAACTTCCATTTTTTAATGACAATACACGAATCAATTGGTAATAACCATAACTATGGTAAACAGTCTGTGATCTTTTATATGCTATCCAAGATAATCACTTTGAAAGAACATATAAAAGTTTACATTTTAATGAGGCATACACTCCATTAACCATATTTCTGCTTATGGAGATCAGAGGTCCAACATGATTAGAAGTAGTATTACATCATAGCAACATCTTCAAATATGGCTATACTATGCAGACATGATTATAGAACACCTTTCACTGCCTGCTGAATGATGAAATAAATCAATGACACACTTGTCTGAAGTATACTTGTTGTTTGAAACTATGATGCCCTTCTCTTACTGCTGTTTTGTTTCTCCCAGGGCGGGGGGAGGGGGGAATGTGTTTGTAATTAAAAGAACACATCCTTGTTTTATATTACAGGCTCATGGTTTTTTTTGCTTTCTATTGTTATGCTCCCCCCAAAATTCACTGGTATTTCCTAAAGCAAGATGTTTGTATTGCAGAGAAAACCATTCATGTAGAGGCTTTCTGTCCTCTAGAATTTGTCATGCTGTGGAATAGTACACTGATGCCTTTGGTATATAGCAGAAATGGCGAACTGGTTTCATCTGAGGGGTCAGTCCTGATTTAAAAAAAAAAAAAAAAGGTAAGGACTATAGGCAGATCTGTCTTGAGAAAGACAGGAATTGGGCTGACTAGGAAACCACCATTATCAATCAGAGGCATCTGACATATGTGCAGATGTGAATGATGGCTCATCTGCCCAGGTAACTGCCAAGACCTTTTTACTCCAGGGGTAAAAATGGGGCCTTCATATGTGCACTAAGGTGTCAAGGCAAAATGAGAACTTGAGGCAACGCGAAAATTTCATTCTTGATAGATCTATGGAAAAAAAATAGCAGTCCATAAGAAACCACTATTAGGGGTGCCCCCAGTCAGTTAAGTGTCTGCCTTCAGCTCAGGTCATAATCCTAGGGTCCTGGGATCGGGCTCCCTGCTCAGTGGGGAGCCTGCTTCTCCTATTAACTCTGCTCCTCTGCTCCTGCTCTATCTCAAACAAATAAATAAAATCTTAAAAAAAAAAAAAAAAGAAAAAAAGAAACCACTGTTAGTGCTGTACTCTAAGATTTATTCAGAATTTAACTTTCACAAACACTATAAACAACACAACCCAGTAGCACATTTTCTAGATACTCCAAACTTTCAGTTTGGTTGTTAATCATTATGTTCTACAATACATGCTGAAAAATTAACGAATTCTATATATACATATGAGATTCAAACCTGGGTGGCAAAGTCTTAAATAGATATAGATTCAGTAATTTAAAAAATTGTTTTAATGAAATCTTCTAAGGAGTTGGGTTAGAAATTTGGAAATCCAGGGGCACCTTGGTGGCTCAGTGGTTTAAAGCCTCTGCTTTCGGCTCGGGTATGGTCCCGGGGTCCTGCGATCGAGCCCCGCATCGGGTTCTCTGAGCCTGCCTCCCCCTCTTTCTCTGCCTGCCTCTCTGCCTACTTGTGATCTCTGTCAAATAAATAAATAAAATCTTAAAAGAAAAAAAAAGAAATTTGGAAATCCAATGAATGAGATCTGGAAGATGTCTTTACATTACAGTTTTCAATTTTTCTTCCAAGCTACAAATTACATTTTTTACCTCTAATACTGAATTTTACCCAGCTGCTG